CTTAGCCCTTTTTTGTCTGTGAAGCTCCTGATTCCACCTTCAATTTTGAATGATAGCCTTGCTGGGTATAGTATTCTTGGATTCATTCCTTTGCTTTGCATCACTTTGTATATTTCATTCCATTTCCTTCTTGCCTGGTGTGCTTCTGTTGAGAAGTCAACTGATATTCTAATAGGAGACCCTTTGTAAGTAACTTTCTGTCTCTCTCTAGCAGCCTTTAAGATTTTTATGTTGTCGTTGGTGTTTCCCAATTTAATTATGATGTGTCTTGGTGTTGGTCTTTTGGGGTTCATCTTGTTTGGCACTCTATGTGCTTCTTGGACTTGTGTAGTTTTTTTCTTGCCAGTATCAGGGAAGTTTTCTGTCATTATTTCTTCAAACAGGTTTTTCTATTCCTTGCTTCTCCTCTGCTCCTTCTGGTACCCCTATTAAGCAAATGTTGTTCTGTTTTGCGTTGTCCCAAAGCTCCCTTAGGCTCTCCTCTTGCTTTTTAAGTTCTTTTTCCAGTTGCTCCTGTGTTTGTGTGTTTTTTCCTACCTTGTCTTCTAATTCGCTGATGCGGTCCTCAGCCTCTTCTAGTCTGCTGTTTAAGCCTTCCATTGTGTTCTTTATTGCAGCTATGTCATTCTTCATTTCCTCTTGGTTCCTTTTCATGTTGGAGACATTCTCATTCAGCTCCTTATAATTCTCATTGAGTTGTGTGTATTTGACATCCAGCCATTTGAGCATCCTTATAGCCATTACTCTGAATTCTTTCTCTAATATGTTACTAGCCTCAATTTCATTTAACTCCCTTTCTGGTGATCCTCTTTTTCTTTCCTTTGTGGATTGCTTTTTGTCTTCCCATGTTTTGCTGTAATGTTTTAATTGTAGCTCTGATTGCTCTGTACCCAGTTTCTTTAGGGTATGGTGCTACTGGTGTGACCTCTCAGGTCTCCTGGGCTTGGTAGGCTAGTGCAGCTCCCTACTTGGGCTATTTGGGTTCTCTTGATGTAGGCCTGTGAGCTGGAAAGGCACAACTGAGGTGTCCAGAAGTCAGCAGCCATGGAGGGGGTGTCCCAATTTTTGCTGTCTTGTGCCCTTGTTTGAAATCACTTGTGCCCAGTGGGGACTCACAGTGGCACCCAGGAACCATCTGTTGGGGTGGTAGGGCTCCAGAGGCCTGCATTCTGGAAAGGCATGACTGTGGTGTCCAGAGTTCTGTAGTTGTGGGGTGGGCAGACTCAGCTTTTGCTGCTGCCTCTGTGGTTGGATACACGTGATCCCAGCAGCAGTTCACAGGGGCACCTGTGGTGTGTTTGCCAGCAGGGTATACTGACACACTCTGAAGGGCCCTGGCACTGAAGCCACTGGATTGCAGTGTCTGTGGGCAGGTATCCCAGAAGAGGGAATTCAGCGTTTCTACAGCTCAGCAGTGCACCCCTGTTTGTTTAAGTGCATGTCCAGCAGGGGCCCCAGGTCTGTCTGTGGAGCGGTGGTCTTGGGAGACCTGCATGCTGGAAAAGCATGCAACTGTAGTGTCCAGAATTCTGCAGCTGTGGGGTGGAGAAATTCAGTTTTTGCTGATGCACCTGTGGTGGATAGGCGTGCGATCCTGGAGGTGGCACACAGGAGCACCCTCAGTGAGTTTGCTAGTGCAGGCACACTGATGCACTCTGAAGGGCCCTGGCATGCTTAATCAAGGCATCTTTGGGCAGGTATCCAGGATGGGTGAATTCAGAATTTCTGCTGCCCAGGGGAGTGTGTCCCTATTTGTCCAAGATCAGACCCAGCGGAGGCTCACTGCAGCTTCCCAAAGTGCCCTGTGGATAGATGGGCTCAGGGGGAGTGAGCAACTGTGGCAGTGCCTTTGCCAGGCGCTGAACTCTGACGCACTCTGAGGGGCCCTGGAGCTGAAGTTGTGCAGCTGGGTGTGTGGGGGTAGTTATTCAGGCAGAGGGAATTCAGAATTTCTATTGGGGGGACAGTGTGCCTGTGTCTGTACAAAATCACACCCAGCTGGGGCTCCCAGTGACTCCTGAGAGAAGTCTATGGAGTGGGGTGCCTCAGAGCCCTGCGCGCTGGAGATGTGCGAATGGGATGTCGGAGGTCTGCCGCTGGGGAGGCGGAGGCTGCACTTACTGCTGCGGGCATGGTGCTCCTTTGGAGGTAGAGATCCCAGGGTCTGTGAGGCTGCGGGTGTGGCTGCAGGATTTGGGCTGGAGTGGCTGCTGGGTTGCAGGCAGTGTCCAAGGGCTGTCTGGGTGGTGATGCTGATGAGTGCCTAGAAGAGGCCGCTCTTCCCTTCAAGATGGCGTGGGCTCTGTGCCCGAGTCCCGCAGTCCGGGGAGTGTCCACAGCCGTGGTAGTCTCTCCCTGTCCCAGGGAGCCTGGTCTGCCAGCCTCTGCTGCTCCTGCCGGATTTAACTGTCCCTCCCTCACTCACACACACAACACACACATCCACACACTCTCTTTTCATCCCCTCACTCACTCACTTCCTATTCCTCGCCTCCGTCCTGCTAGCCGCCATCTTTCTCTCCCTAGACCCGTGGTCGGCAAACTGTGGCTAGCGAGCCAAATGCGGCTCTTTGGCCCCTTGAGTGTGGCTCTTCCTAAGCCTTAGGAGTACCCTAATTAAGTTAATAACAAAGTGCCTACCTATATAGTTTAAGTTTAAAAAATTTGGCTCTCAAAAGAAATTTCAATCTTTGTACTGTTGATATTTGGCTCTGTTGACTAATGAGTTTGCTGACCACTGCCCTAGACATTCATATTTCTGCTTAGAATATTGCAAACTCTGAAAAATCCTACAAGTAAGAAACTTGATCAACTGTGTTTGAACTACTATTTTCCAAGGATAGTTGATCAAAAACTTTTGTTGTGAAGTAGCATATAACATCTTGTGAAAAAGAGGTTGAGAAATCTTGATTGTCAAAATGATATAAAATACTCATTTGATAAAGCAACTGCTCTGTCTTACAATATGCAAGCCTTCTATTAGGTTTTTATCTCATTTATTGCCAGTGTCTTAATAGTATCCCCTTTTCTTCCACAGCCACTTTCTGGTCAAAAGCAAGATTCAAAGTTGCCACATTCAAGCCCCAAGTCATGCCAAGTTCATCCACAGAATTTCCCAAGTACCAATGTCTTGCTGACAAATGGACTATTTTAAAATATTACCTTCCTGTGTGTTACAAAACAACTATTTCAGTTGATTTTCCCTAACCCATTTATTTTCTTTTACTTAATGTAAGTTTGTTCTGTTTCAGAGTCCAAGTTTATTTGTGAGAAGTCAAATAAACCTGGACTAAAATCACAGTCATCGTATTTTCTGGTCCTGGGAGAAGCCTGCACATTCAAGATAAAATCCGGACTTGTTGGTGTGGCCTAAAAGGTTGTTTCTAATATGTCATGGACAAGTGGGCCCAGAGCACCACAGGGAATGGGAGTTTAGCACAAGAAATATAAAACAAGGTCACCTGGCTGCTGTCTCACTTTCTTGTTATCAGTTGGCCTTAGGTCCTGATAATTCCATCACTGGGTTGTGCTCCATAAGCTTTATGGAGAATCACAACAACATTTTGCACTATTTTGGCTAGAGCTGTAACTTAAGTGATCTGCTTTCCCTGTGGGTGTTTCTAGTTCCACATCCCAGGGGAGAGGATTCAATTAAATTAGTTGTCCCCATCCCATACCCAGAACTCCTACTTGTCAGTTTTATTCCAAGCTACTGCAAAGGCCATTGACTAGCCTCGAATTCAAGTTCAATTTGGAACTTAGTGCCTCCAGAACAGCCCAATCGCTAATTCCCTTAATTATGTACAGAGTATCAGCATTTTCTTCTCCTGAGATACATGCCATGGATCCTTGCAAACATTTCCTCAAAGAATTAATTGCTCTTTCTGTCCTCAAAGATGAGATGATGGTTATTTATGGTCATGGGAACCCAGAGTTTCATAGAATTTGCTTTGGTCTAAGACCTATTATGATCTGGTTCCCACCTGCTACTCCAGCTAATTTCCACCAAATCTTCTCCTTGCCTCATTAAAACAAACAACTTGCTATTCTCCAAATAGTCCATGCTTTTGCTTGCTGCCATGTCTCCCCTGTGAAAGGCCGTTGCCTTCCCCTATCACACAATTAAATTCTCCTCATGTTTCCAAGTTTGGTTCAATCATTACCTTTCTTAGTATATATTTCATGTTTATTCCTAGGCTCAAAGAAAATTTTAACTATCATAAATAACGAAGATTAGAGGTTATAATAGCATATTACTATGGATAGGAGTAGCTGCCATGCTATATAATTATATAATTGCTCCAATATATTTTGTAGAAGTTTATTTCTCATTTACATAAAGAGAGATCAGCAGGCCACTCACCTCCAACTAGTGATTTAGGATGTTAGGCTTATTTCATCTTCTAGGTTCACCATCCATAACATCGTGCTCATTTGCATAAAGCCAGTGGAATAAGAAGGGAGGGTAAAGAAGGTGCAACCAATGCATAACAATCTTGATACATGCACATCACTTCTACTTTTCTCCATTAGTAAGAACAGGTCACATGGTCAAACCTTTGTGTATTGATTGGAAGTGTGGTTTCTGAGCTACAGTTTCCTGGTGGCAATGCCTACTGTGGGAGGAAAGGCATACATTTGAGGATGACAGTTAACTATCTCTGCCACAATTAATATTCTTATGTTTGCAAATGACATAAACTCCAATGGAGGAAAGCTTAAACAACAAGGTGGTTCTAATAAAGTCATTCAGGGGGGTAGTTCTAAGAATGATTAGAATATTAACCCCATCATGTACTATCTCTCTCTCATTTAATTTAATTTATTTATTTTTGTTAATCCAAATATTTTTGTTAATCATTTTTTTTGTTAATTTTATTTTATTTTCCATTGAGAGAGTGGACGGGAGAGGGAGAGACAGAAAGAAACATTGATGTGAGAGAGATACATGGATTGGTTGCCTCCTGCATGCACCTCGACCAGGGCCAGGGAACCTGCAAGCAAGGTACACACCCTTGACCGAAACCGAACCTGGGATTCAGTCCATGGGCCAATGCTCTATCCATTGAGCCAAACCAACTAGGGCTCTCTCTTATTTTAGAAAAGTTATCCAGTTCAATATCAGTGTTCTCATGTATAAAATAAGGTAAGTTAAAATAATCAGGAAATAAAGAAACAGATGGAAAATAGCCACTGCAGGATTGTTGTGAGAGTAACTTCTTGAGTAAGTTGGCTTATCGAGGAGCGACTCCCCACAGTGCCACCTCTCAGCTGCTTCTTCACACAAGCCGTCTTGCTGTGATGGACAGAGAGAAAGGACCTCAGGTGTTTGCACTGCAGTCATGCAAGTGTGTCCATGAGCTCTGCCTTTCAGCTGAGCAAGGACACAGGTCATGTTTCTTTAGTGGAGACTTTGTCTGGAGAATTCATACCTGAACATGTCACAAATGAGAATCTTGGAATATTTCCCCCTTAGGAACTCGGAAAACAATGTCAAACACTGCTTGGCTTCTGTGAATTATTTGCAGCCAGGGACTGGAATAAGTGGTTGCAGATGACTTTGTGTAATATTGAACCCACTGTTTTTCAGTAGTGAAGGTATACCAATGGGAGGTCAGTGGGTGGACCATAAACCAGACTCTGAGTTAAGCCACATCTGGAAGAGTCTCTGTTTCTTTATTTTCATTTCAAACTCTAGATTATTAAGGACAAGATCTATATCTTGGTCTTATAACATGCATTTAACTTTCAACTCTCCTCTTCTGAAACACACAATGTCTTTACAAATAATAATAACATTTATTGAGCACATAGTATGCGGCAGGCCCTGGACTAGGTGTGCCATTCCCGTAGCTACGTGTGAGGCTACCACTACATACTGAATCAGTTATCTGTTGTAAAGCAGTCGTTGTATCTAATCCCGATTGGGTAGGTCAGCAATCTGGTCAGAGCCCAGCTGGCCACTGCTTCTGCGTGGGGTCACTCAGGTGACTGCACTTTGTGGGCAGGTATGCTGGCACCAGTTGGTCCAGGAAGGCTTGTCTCTGCTCCACATGGTCTCTCCTCCAGCAGAGCAGCCTTGGCTGATTCTCATGGACACAGCGCCCCCAGAGGTCAAGAATGGAAACTGCACCGCTTCCCGAAACCCAGACTTGGAACTCACAGTGTCACTTCCATTGCCTTCTACTGCTCACAAGGCCAGCCCAGATTCAGGGAGTGTGGAACAGGCCTCACCTCCTGAGGCGCTGCCAAGAATGCGTGGCCATTTATTGTCTACCACACACACTCTCACAGATGAGCTATTGGTTTATTTGTTTTGAGAAATCTCCTAGTAAACTCCTTTTTAAAAAAACATCCATCATCTTCGATGTAGCATGATAAAGAGGTGGGGTAAGGAAATACAAACTTTTAACAATTTTGTGCATGCACTGGCCCAAACAGAAGAAAAATTTTTAACTTTGAAATCTAAATGAGCTTGAGATAAGTCAGACATTTCCCCAAATGTTGGGTGCATAACAGATTATCTTACCATGAGCAGTGCAGTTGCGGTGATGCGTGGCGCCCTGAGGGGTGCCCGCCCTGCGCCCAGGCTGCGTGGGATGCCCACTTGGGATCTGGAAACCGCTGGGGTCGGGCTCTCGTGGAACCCAGAGCTGGGGTACAGCCCCTCCCTCCTCTGTTTCCAGAGCTGGCAAAGAGATGCGTTCTCTGCCATGTGAGCAGCAGGATGGGAAATAGTCCACAGAACGTGGTCTCTGGCCTCAGCTGGTGGACCGCAAGCCGGGCTCTGAGTTAAGCCACAGCAGGAAGAGTCTGCTTCTTTATCTTCGAAGCATTCTCCTCACTCTAGTAAAGGCCGTGAGGCTGTGTGGAGTGGCAGGGGAGCCCACTGGGTCCGTCTGGGAACCTGCAGGTGAAGACAGTGGGGAACAGATCGCATCCGCCTGCAGGTGGATGGCTTGGGGCAGGACGTGGACCTGTCTGCACCTCCGTTTGAACCTGCCTGAGTAAAACCCAAATGGCGACACCCAGCTTCCAGGGTTGATGTGAGAACTAAATATGAAGTGGAGAATGTGCTCAGAGGCAGTGGCAGATGCTCAAACCCGGCCATTCATCATCCCTGAAGCTGGCATGCACCCAGAAGGTGTGAGCTGCAGCATGTGCTTAGGAAAATTCCTAAATCCTGGCATTCCTCCAGGAGTTAAAGGAGAGGTTTAAGCTCATTTCGACTGCATGGCTTTATAATGCCTACTTGCCTAGGAAATCAGAGCTTCATTCTTTTGCATGAAACATATATTGTAGGGACTAGAAAGCAAAATACTACATTTCCCAGGCTCACCCCTAAATTAGGGTCTGGATGTGATTGAGGTTTTGCCTGTCCGATATACAAATGCAAACTTGAATTAGTGGAGGGCACAGTAGGGACAGAAGCACAGAGGCAGTGGTGTGTACCTGTTGGGAAACAGAAAAACAACATCTCTGCCAGCCCAGAAAAGCTCCCCATGGAGGCAGAAAAGAAAGAGGGGAGTTTATCAAGGAGAAAGCATACAGCAGAATGTGATGTGAGTTACATGCAGGCAGCCCGGTCAGAGATTGCAAAAGCCAGCAAGCAACCTCACCCCTGGGCAGAGCTGAGCAGACACACCCATCCATAGGTGTTCCCAAGATAAACAGTAACTAGGCCTTGAGGCAGAGGCGCGAATGGCACCATTTATCACAGTTGATGCTCAATTCACCTGGTCATTGGGCAGCCACCTGTTTGCACATGGCCTTTATCCAAAGGAAAGCGCATTGATGATAGCGGATTGCGGGGAGTGACGCCTGGGATTGGCGCTGGTGCCAGCTGCAGGGAGGCGCTACTCCCCCTCAGTCAGGTGGTGATTATTGAGAGAAATAAAGTGCTAGGTATTGTAAGGCAGTAACATTTGGACAGTTCACCTGACCTTGCAATTGTATAAAATGCTCACCAATGTTCTGTAAGTGCGCCTGTCTGTCTGTGTCCAAATTTCCTCTTCACGTAGCGGGTGCAGCTGGGGCCCAGGAGGGTTTGTGGGCGGGAAGGCCCCCCACGCACCTGGGCGTCTGGAGCAGAACCTCCCGGCGGATGTGACCTTCGAGCCTGCAGTCCTCCGTGGACCGGAGCTGCTCTCGCCCATGCTGTTTGTACATTTAGCTCCAGGTTCATCTCCAATCTCGGCTTCCGGCGCCTGCTGCGCATTTGCCATTGTTAATAACGTTTTGGTCCTGAAATAGATCACTGGTAGGGAGGTGGTATAAGTTTGGAGTTTAAAAATAAGAGCTAACATTCATTCAACAATTATTGTGTGCCAGAAACGTACGATTTTTACATCGATGACTTCATTTTATTTTTGAATTGTTCACACATGAAGAGGCAGAGACTGTGGAACAATGAGGACAGAACTTGGTCTCGGCCGATGCTAACGTCCAGGACTCACCACGTACAAATCTGCTGATTAAAGTGTCAGTGGCCCTGGCCCATGGGGCTCAGCGGGTTGGGCGTCGTCCTGTGCCCTGAAAGGTTGTCAGCAATGGATATTGCTTTCACATGGATGTTTCTCTCTCTCCCTCTGCCTTCTCCTCTCTCTAAAAAAGCCAATAAAAGTAAATTAATTAATGAAAAGTTTTAGTAAGTTAAGATTATGCCAAAATTTGCCTGTCAGCTCTTCACTTACAAATCAGTATCTTTTTTATTTATGACTAGCGATTTCCTGAAACGTTGCATAGAACAGCAACACTATGATCAAGTGTCTGCATGTCTTCCGGGGAAGCTGCCAATCTGAGGAAGAGTTGGAGGAGGAGGCAGAGGAAGGAAGGGAGGGGACAGGTGGTCACCTGTGACGTTCCGCAGCTCATGCAGGACTGCTCTCCCGGCCCCTCTTCCCAGAGACTCGGGTGGGATGGGAGGAAAGGTCCTCTTAGAGAGGGGACCGGAGGGCCAGGCCCATGCCCAGAGCTGAGCAGGTGGCAGCTGGCTAGAGAGAGTCGGCAATAGGACTTGGGGGAGAGTCTGAATTGTGTTGGGGGTACACTCTTCAGGCATAATCCCTTTATTACCAAAGGGTTTTCTTCTTTGGACCAGGTTAATGCTCCTCCAGGTCACCTCCTGTAAGACATTCTGCCCTGAGAGATGCGTCTGCATTGGGTTGTAATTCCATCAATGTAATGAGGGGGAGACGTGATTGCCTCAAGCGAACCTTTCTCTTCTGTAGCTGGTGATGGATGAATAAAAGCTGCATCCTTTCTTCCTGAAGTCTGGAGAGAGTGGGGAGAGGCCGGGCAGGGTACCCACAGTATTCGCTGGTCAGCTGACGCTTCCGAGAACGCCCAGGCCTGGCCACAGCCAGAGGGCCCAGCGGCGCCAGGAGAAGTTCATCAGTAACAGTTTGCATTTGGAAATTATCTCAAAAAACGTCAGTTTCCAAGAGGTCGGCTGCTTTCTCAATATCTTTGCAACACTGCAGGCCCTTTCCCTCCTATTCGAAGGGAAGGGAACTCTCTCTCCCTGATTGTGTGCAGAGACCACGCAGTTGTTGGCAGACTTGAGAGCCACACACAAATCCTTTATGATCTTTTCAACTTCCTTTCTCCTCCAGGAATGTGCTGAGGCGCCCGGCGCCCGCTGTCGGATGGTAAACCTGGCGTGATACCGACAGGCGATGGTGAGTGGAGGATTCTGGCCACTGGGAATGGGCCAGCCAACAGGGCATGGGCTTGTCCCGTGGCAGCCGAAAGTTGCTCTGTGGGCCAATGAGCAAGGCTGAGAAATGGCCTGATCCCAACCTGAGCCACCCGACTGCACCCGCGCTGCCTGCCCAGCCAGGCCCCAGGGCAACCCGCCTCAGTGCTGACGCTGCACGAGGCCTCTGCTGGCTCTGGGCACAGACCTCCCACACTCACAGCAGCAGGAAATCCCATGCAGCAGGAGCTCAGCAAGGAACACAAGAGGCCATACATGTTTTAAATCCCATTTCTCTCTCTCTGACCCTCTTTCATTCACCTTTATGGTATGCAGATACGGCAGCATGCTATACTTTTGGTCCTGTAGGGTATGCTACCATAGCCCCTCGCGACCCTAGGATTCAGAGGCTCCAGCTTATATGGTATCATTCAACTCTCAGGAACTCTGTCACATAACATATGGGCAGGGGGACCCCGTGGCTACGCTGAGGGGGGAGGCCCTGAGGCTGAGTGTTTAGACACTGACACCCCGGGTTCTCCCTCTGCTCCTGGTGACCTTAAGCAAGTCTGAGCCAGGAAATTTCATCATAAAAACCAAAGACAGACAGTGTGGCCCACGAGTGTCTCTTACCAATTGTCACCTTTAAGTCGGAAATGTCTCCAAACCCATGAGGCGAACAAAACCGTGTTATGCATTTATGTTATCGTAGCTAAAAGCAAGCCATTCGGGGTTATTAGATAGGAAGTGCTAATTAATGCAAGAATAGATTCAATATTCAGTAAGTGCTGTCGAAGTTTCCAATAGATTATTTTATTATTTTCATGTTATGACTTTATTCCAAAAAATGGAAAAAGACAAGACTCTAAAGCTTAGGTCACCATTACATCATGCCTCTGAACTTCAGCTATGGAAATGATTGCTGTAAGTGTTATGAAGTCAGCAATTAGCCTCAACGTACCTTCATTTCCTTTAGGAAAACAGTATTTAGACCATCATATGCTAGCCAGCTAGTTCAGGTCCATTCTGGAAGCCAGTTATATGGACGTAATCTCAAAACATTAGTGAGAAAATGAGAGTGCTCCGAGCAGCCAAAGAGCAGTTCTCGTTTGGCTCATTTTCCCACGTCACAACTCCTGCTCAGGTTGAGGAAGCACAGTAGTCCACCGAGGATAATGCAGAAGGCAGCAGGAATGCGCACAGAGGGGCGTGGGCACAGAGAAACACAGGACAGTGACGTGTGAGCGTGAAGACGCTGCTCACTAGTGGGACGGCGCTCTCTCTCTTTTCCTCGGCCCTAAGAAAGGGCTTTTCTCTAAACAGTGTACACCTGGCAGCTCAAGACAAGCATTTCTAAGGCCTCGGCATTCTGAAAGACTGTGCTCTGATCCCCTCATTCTCTAAGTAAAACTTCCCAACGATTTGACAAGTTTCTAGCCTCACTCCATGGAGGTGTGCTAAATACTGGGAAATCTCTTGTAATAAGTATGTAAGCACTTAAAAAGAAATCTCTTGTGGCCCCAGCCTTTGGTACACATTGCTCAACACGACGTGCCGCGGGCGTGTCAGGGATGGGATGGGAGGTTGTGTTGGGAAATATGGCCCAGATGCAACACAGACCAATGAGCTTTCTCCAGGAGCCCCCAGTTTCCAGGCCAGAGAGCATCACTAAGCGCCCGCCTAAAAGGCTAACACGCCGCAAGGGAAGTAAATTTCAGGGAATTTTCAAAGAACATTTCTTTAGAAACTTCCATAAGACTAGCTCTTCATTCATAGCGGCTTCGTGGGAAGATCGAACCGGAGCACCTATGTTTCAGAAGTGCGGCTACGTTAGAGAGTCAGTTGACTGGGCATCTGGCAGCTATATTTTCTTCGTGCAGCCAACCATGACAGTTTGCCCTTTGCAAGTCATTATAAATGATAAAATGTCAGTAAAATGGGGGAGCAATTATGAAACATGAGCCAGGTTTTATGAAGTTGTCAAAATAAGTAAGGGAATTTTTTTCTAATGAATGAGACAAGTTTAATCTTATCTGTGTGTCAGTTAAAAAGTCAGCGGTAAAATATGTAAATTCTAATGACTTAGATAAGTGGGAAACCACAAGCCTTCGGACGTACAACTGTGTGCAACTAAACCCAGTGTTTCTCTTCTCCTCTTGAGGTCATCAGGTTTTTTTAAGGTGGTGTGGTAGACCAGATATCCAGGGAAGCAGGGAAGTCTTCCCAGAGGGACTTTTGTGGGCAAGGGACTTGCATGCTACCATCATTATTAAGCAGCTGCTATTTACCCAGCACTGTTCCTGGCACCTTGCATATCTGACCTCACCACTCCTCCAGCAGCTCTTGAAGTTGGTGTCATTACCTCTGTGCTTCAGAGGCTCGCCATCGGGGAAGTCAGTGAATTTTCCAAGGTCTCCCAGATGGTACATGACTTCAGAGAACCTCGGCCATGCTGATCCCAGATCCCAGAGCCCATGCCCATGGACAAAAGAATATATTTGATTATGTGTAATAAAAAATCAAATATTTTTATTAAAACTGCTAAAAAAGAACACCCTGCAACTTGTGAATTATGGTCATTCTGCAAATTGATAATTTCAAGAATTAATTCTGAGTGAATTGGTTTCCCTTCCTATCCAGAAGTCTGTAGTTAAAAACAAAGAAATACACCAAGAATAACGATGGCATTTATTGTAGATACTAGTAGACCAGCGGTTCTCAACCTGTGGGTCGCGACCCCTTTGGGGGTCAAATGACCCTTTCACAGGGGTCGCCTAAGACCATCGGAAAACACATATATAATTACATATTGTTTTTGTGATTAATCACTATGCTTTAATTATGTTCAATTTGTAACAATGAAATTGGGGTCACCACAACATGAGGAACTGTATTAAAGGGTCACAGCATTAGGAAGGTTGAGAACCACTGTAGTAGACAGTGAGCCAGCCCTAGGCTAGCCCCGCTGCAGTAATTGTCTGCATTGAATCCAAACAGTAACTTTCTGAGTTGGGTATTATTATTATCATTTTACAGAGCGGGGGTTTGAGGTTAATCATGGACATTGTCCTAAGGAGGAAGCATGAAGACAGCTTGGCTCAAAGACCAGGAGGACAGGTGTAGTTCCCAAGCTGAGGGCTGCAAGTGGAAACTCCCCATCTCTGGCCCAGATCTGTGCAGGCGGATGAGGAAAGAGGTGACTCTTACCTCACTGCCTACACAGCAAGGGCTCAGCGTCTCCATAGATTGCGGCATGTGGGGCAAGCAGCAGGCGGGTTGGGACAGTTTCCAGGCAGTGGCTCACGGAGGGGTGTGGCAGGGGAGGTGGCACAGGTGATGGGTTGGGCCAGGCATCCCGCTGGAACATTGCCCTCTCCTGGCAGCTTCACATGCTGCACAAGTCTGCCCTTCTCCCTGCGAGGCCAGCAGGCCTGGTAGATGCAAAGCAATGCACTGTGGCTCCCAAGGGCAGCCGGGTGCTTTCTGGACTAATGTCACTTACCCTGCAAGGCAGGGAGGAAAGGGGGATGGTCTGTCGTCTTCTAATCTCAAACCACAGACCTGAAGGGCACGTGCTCAAGTCTGTTCAAGGGCCCGGGGGCAACGGACAAAGGGGGACGCCCAGGGCCCGGTTGCCTGCTGCTCTGCACCTCTCGTTTGGGTAGATGCTTGGGGATGGGATGTTCACGGGCTGACGTGTTGCATGAGCCTTAGCTATTTATTACCCACCAGGCAGACCCCCTCCTCTGCCCTTTCTGGTCACTTTCTATAACTGTCACTGACCAGCTGGGAGTGATTACCCTAAACTGTTCTACTTCAGTGACAGATTGGGGTGCCATCAGTGTTTGCTATGTGCCTGACTGCGGCTCTGGGAAGAAGAGGACTGGGAGGAAAAGGAAAGGGACCTGGGATTTTCTTTTTTTCTATTTGGGGGACATGATGCCGTATCTGTCAGGTTATTTTTTGTCCCAACTCCCCATCTCCTACTTTCTCAGATATGGCAAGTTTGTATGAACATCTAGAGTTTATTTTTAAATTTACAATCCAGTGGTTTTTAGTGCACCCACAAAGTTGTACAACCATCAGCACTGTCCCCTAGGAGAACATTATTGCAACCCAAAAGGAACTCGTCCTCATTAGCTCTCGTTCTTCTCTCTCCCCAAGCCCCTGGCAGCCACTCCTCCACTTCCTCCGTCTGTCTCTGTAGATTGGCCTATTCTGGACATTTCACAAAAACAGAATCACAGAATGTGGCCTTTTGTGTCTGGCTTCTTCACTCAGCACAGTGTTTTCTGTGCCCATCCATGTAACATGAACATGCCATGTTTGTTTATTCATTCATCATTGCTAGCAACTCAGTTGTCTCCACTCTTTGGTTAGTCTGAGTAGTGCTGCTATGAACATTCATGTACAGGTTTGTGTGGACATGTGTGTTCATTTCTCTTGGGTAACACCCAGGAGTGGAATTGTCGGGTCAGATGGTAACTCCATTTAATCTCCTGAGGAGCCACCAACTCAGTGGCCGCATCCCTTTCCATCCCTCCAGCAATGGGACAGAGTGAAGCAAGACAAAAGAGCGCCAATTAAGGCAAGTAAGTTGCTGAAACGGAAAACAATGTCATTGGTGTGAGATGAAAATGGAAAAATACTGCAGGTAGTGAAATGAGATGGTGTTGCCTAAAGGAGAAATAAGAAAATGTCTCCATTCATTGAGTGTCAGTGAAGGAAGTGGTTTATACCGACAACACCAAGCGAGGAGGCTGCCTCCACATGCAAGAACAAGACGCGAGGAGAAGAACGGATGTCCTGGAATAGTCCAGAGCTTCCTTTCTCTGTCAACCCGAGAGATGACAATAGGGGCTTGCAAGGAAGAGAGCTCTTAAATGTTTGTGGACTATTTTTGTTTTTGTGAAAAACTTTTAGGTGAACAAAGGAAGTCAATATAAAGGATGGAGAGCTCGGAAATGGAAAACAATGTGTGACAGTAGCAGCTGGACAGATCCGAACTGATAGGAGGCAGTGGAAAGTTCTCTGCCCTCTGAGCACTGACGCCCTCAAGACTGACTACCCGCAGCAGAACCTCCCGCTCACGTTCGGTGGACGCGGATTGGAATGATTGAATCAATCAATGTACGAGTGCAGCGATCTTCAATGGGGAGCCGCAGCAATTTCTAAAACATGCAATACCTGACTCTTGAGTCAGGGGCACGGACCTCTTTCTAGATTGCTAAATAAAAAAATGACAACAGCAAACACGACAATAGCCGTTTGGTGTGAATGAATCAAAAGTATACCTATTTTTTCTTTGTCAGATCGGCAAAAGATGGATTTCTTGGTGTGCCACAGAATTGTAGTAATCAGGTGTGCTCCATGAGATGGAGAAGGTTGAAAATCGCTGCTCTAATCAGGCCCCCTACCCGCTCCGGAGCAGCTTCTCTCACAGGGGTTGCGTGCAGGTAGAGGCTCACCTGGCACAGGCGTTTCTGAGGGTGGTGTGGAGAAGGCCTGGTTAGAATCACTCAGAGACATTTGGGTAGCTCTGGGGCATTCGCCTAAGCCACTAGAATATTCTGCTTAATCCAAGGAGTTTATGGGAATTAATATAAGAAGTTAGACCTGTGATCACCCAGAACAGATTATGTCCAAAATGAATACTACAGACCTTTTGGGTTGTGACCCAAACCGAGGTCCGCCTGCCCAGTGCTGTTGGTGCCAGAAAACGGGACTGGGTTGGGTAAAGCCGAGTGGAAGCTTTATTCTTAGATCAAGGAATTGAGAAGGGTGAGCTCATGCTCTCAGGCATCTCCCCCCTCCCCTCCCCCCCACCGGAGTGGAGTCTCTGTCTTCATAAGTGTGGCCATGTGATCCGATTCCTTCAAGCGCTTAGTCATTCTTGTGCTGCCCTGGCCCTTTCGCTCAGGGTTCTCTTTGTACACGAAGACCCGGGCCCACCTTGGTCTTGGCACTCAGCCCTCTTCATTTGGGGAGGGGAACCTTTTTCGGTTCCCATAAGCAAGCGTGGCTCTGACGTAGTGTAGGCCCTGAGTAAAGTTAGGGTCTTTAGTTGACAGCCTACCCAGTGATGGCGAACCTTTTGAGCTCGGCCTGTCAGCATTTTGAAAAACCCTAACTTAACTCTGGTGCCGTGTCACATATAGAATTTTTTTGATATTTGCACCCATAGTAAAACAAAGACTTATATTTTGATATTTATTTTATATATTTAAATGCCATTTAACAAAGAAAAATCAACCAAAAAAATGAGTTCGCATGTCACCTCTGACACGCGTGTCATAAGTTCGTCATCACTGGCCTAGTGCATTGAGACCATAGGGATGGTTTTCAGGATGGTTTTCAGCTGAGCTTCTGGGCTCAACCCCACAGCTTAGGAACATGCCAGAACTCTACCTGGTTACTATCAGAGCTTGTGGGAGAGTCTTTTCTCCATAACCCTTTTACAAAATGCCAACATATTTTGGCTTGCCCCATGTTTGTGGAGATGGGGTTTCACTATGTGTTTCAGAGTCCAGCACACACAGTGCAGGGTTTGCGTGCAGCCCTGATCCATGGGGGCTCAGAGACCCAGCCTGTCCCAGCTCACAGGGCCCCTTCCCTCGGGTGCACCCTCCTCCTAGGCCCAGCCATCACATCCGTGTGCCAGGCAGAAGGAGGGTGAGACATTCACCAGGAGCAGAGAGAAGCTGCCCCAGAAAACTCCCACTGGCAGCTCACTGGCCAAAACATAGTCACAGCAAGGGAGGCTGAGAAATGCAGTTTTGGTTCTCAAATCATTTGGCCAGCACAAGCCAGGGAGGTAATCTACTTCAAGTGCCATGAAATGAAGGGAGAGCAAATATTGGAGGTCAGACTCCAGCATTGGCCACATCTGGGAAGTAACGTGTTAGTCTGGGTTGCAAAGTGTCCTTCTTCCTTCCGTTTCCCTACATTTGCCTCCTTTGAGCTCCAGCGTGGCCTCTGATTCTGACGTCACTGGCTGGGTGTCTGCTGAGAGTAATTTAAGGATCGGAGAGCTCGGCTGAGCAACGGGACTAGACAGGGCTGTGCTCAGTGGAGTTAGCGTGACATGTGCTCTCTGGTGCCTGGCTGAGCGCCTTGCTCCGTGGGGAGCTCCCCGCTCCCCGGCCAAGCCCTGCTCAGGTCTGACCTGCCGACAAGATCTTCAGTTTCCCCGCCTGGAAGGATCCTGCTCTCCTTCTCCATGTTCTCAGGACTTTCATCATTGTCCTTATCACCACCACTTCCTTGCATTCGTCTCACATACTTGTCTCCATGGCTGAGCTGTGAAGTCTAGGAAGTAAGGAGTCAAGAAACCTGGGCTGTGGGCTCAGCTCAGCCATTAGTAACTGGGGGCCCAGAGAAAGACAGTAACCTTCCCAGGGCCCCTTTCTCACCTGCTACAACATTTTTCAAAACAAATAGCCAAGTGCTACGTGACTCAAGAAGAAAGTATAACTCCTGTCGCTTCTATGTTCTGAAAGCTAGAAACGCATATTCTCTCCCCCACATAAATGAAAATGACTAGCCCAAGGATAG